CGTTAGTCATAACGTTGTTGACGACCTGCCTGCATTTAAATTACAAGTACACGTATTCCAGATTTTACACATAAATTTTTGACACTACCTCCTGTGCAAAGTTTGAAGGAGACATTCCTAAGTTTATCCTTCCGGTAGTTAGTACATCTTGATGAAAGGTATCGGTAATTTATAGGTTCTGGTTCAAGAGTCAAGATTAATAATTTACAGAAGAATGTGTACAAATTCGTAGAGATGAAGTTGCTTTGCACCTGTTATTCGAAATGTCAAACTTCACAACATACTTATGGAGACTTAACGTGATTGATGAGAAAAGCCTGGATTCAAGTAGGATGTTTCATGACGAAGATGTAAGGAAAGTTCTCTCCAGTTTGTAGACAACCAACATGTACATGTACTCTATTTGCTTTCTCCGGAAGGTGTAAAACGGTATGGAGCCTAATGGATGACCTTTTCCTTCAGAAGTCCATTTCATGAAATCTTTGCCAATTCATCTTCGAACAAAGCTGTGAAATCATCTCCATGATTCGGTACAAAAACCTAATGAAACATCGGTAATTATAAATAGATGCCTTCCTGATGTTTAAATCCCCCAGATGGGCCTACCCATAAGTATTTTTAAACAGGTAAGCTCTGCAGTTGAACTGTTCAGGGTTTAAAATATGGTTTTATGTCCTATTTATGATAATGTACTCCCCATAGGCACCCCTTATGAACCATCCCCTACGTGGCTGCCGCTCGAACTGTGCTCCTATGCTGCGGATGCTGTCGCAAAGGGCGTGCTTGCTTATTATCTCAACACCATTCACCATCCACCCCGGACATCACCGTTAACTTATACACACTTTCACGGCTCAGCAAGGTTAACACTCACATGTCCTTATAGGCTCACTATTCTCAGTATCGATTCTAGAAATAGAATCGATTCCAGATACCGTACGGGTACAACGAAACCGAATACCGAGTAGACTTACTCGTAATCACGTACGTACCGATGAGGAAAACACGTTTTAAAATCCGAAATTTTTCGATTCCGGATTTACGCCGGAAACCGCGAATATTCCAACACATCACTTTACAAGGGTCTTTCACTCATCTCATTCACCCACAACAGAGCCCTGCTCAAAGACAACCTCAAACACGTGGCAACTTACAAACTCTCTTTTGCACGCGCTTGCCCATGAGTTGATTCAATGTTATGCAATTCGCAGTGCCGCAATAAGCTTTTTTGTCCCCCTTCAAGACTTACCCAATTAGTTCATGACTACATTATTTAAAAATTTATGTCTTGAAAGTGTAACTGGCTACAAATAGTGTGTGTTTAATTAAAGGAAGAAAGAACTCTTTTAAGAGTATTTGATAGACATGATTCCCACCCCTTTATGACAAATAAAATCCCTCAGACTACACAAGTGGGCCAGCTTTTTCCAGGTGATGCTCTCTTTTAGGATGACTTCAACTCGTATCGTTGGTCACCTTAAGATGAAGAATCCGAAGAGAGAATTTGAAGGAGATTGAAACAATTAAAAGTTCATCTGCCAGCTATTTCCATGACGTTTGAAATCCTGAAATCTTAGCAGGGAATAATGTTTCGATGGAGATAAAGGTCATTTGACCGCGTTTACTCTTAATTGAGCGAGCAATATCTTCTTGTGACGGAGAGACGAAGGAATCCGGTATATTGAAGAACCAACAGTCGTTATGTTATCCTCTTGAAGGAGATAAGCCACCATGCTTGTCTCTTAAAACATCACTACTTGCCAATAGTCCTTTTTGACGATGTACATGTACCAGAAGGAGATTTAATATTGTGACTCTCAGCTGCAGATCTCCGTTTTCACGAGTTTATTTAATTCCACTCAGCATTGTTCATGGTGTATAGACAAGGCGACAGCACTCAATTTCTGAAGCGCATGAGATTTAATCAAGATTACGACTACAAACGGGGAATGTTATTACACGGAAAAGGAACATTACATGTATGCCAATACCACGCGTCTTTACCCAAATCAACAGCTGGGACAACATCCACGGGCATAATTGCATGCATAATTAACTGTTTGAACACAGGAAACCACAATCAGCGCAGGACACCTTGGGTTTGAAAGGTCAAACTAGCAAACTTTGGGCCAGCGGCCAGGGTGACATTGTTCACTTTTCAAAAGCGTTTTCACTCAGGAATTTACAGGTGGTTATTTCTTTCATTTCTCAAAACACCCTGAACCCACCTTAGACAATACACCGAGACAAAAATCAATACATGACTGTCGTCCGCAAAAAAATTTCAAAATATTTAAGTGCAGAGAGTAAATTTATAACGGAAAAGGGATAGACTCGGGAAATATTTTTCACCTGAAACTAACAAATTTTGATACTCACAATTAGAGCAAGGTTTTGATTTTTAGAATAGGCCTACACAAAAACAGTTGGAACGGGAGCAAGTTAACATAAAAAGGTTCACAATAAAGATCTTACCTCAGAACTGACTGAATTCTAGCGGCCTTGTCTTTAATTAAGCACAAACCTTTACCTGTTTATCATCGCTCAGATCATTTGACAAATCCACAGACACCTTCACAAATGCAGTTGAAAACTCAAGGCAATACTGTCACTCTTTCAGTTTCAGGTGTTTCTGTCCATAGTTCAAGTTTAAGTTTATTCCACCATGCCCACAGGCAGGTATCAGTTATAGTTTTCCAATTCTTAATTAGTTCCAGTGAGTTTGGGTAGTAAAATGGCGATGAAACATTTTTAGACTTTTGCGCAGGCATTATCCAGAGGAACAGTTCGCTCAAAGTTCTTTTGAAGTTTCTTTTCCACAATACTTTTACTCACGAAAGTTTCCAAAGACTTGAGTCTGTATCCTCCTCAGCACAGCGTGTCACAGTGAATTCCAACGGGGCAAGGGTAGCCCGAAAACAGCGTGGAAATGATGCCGTGCGCGCCTGCAGCATTCACCGTGACAATTGCCAAGCTGTCTCTCCTCCATTTTGAAGATTGCCCCCCAGTTCAAGAAACACTTCACCGTGAAAAACTTAATTGATGCCACGGCATTCCTTACACTGTTACCTCCATTCTGTGGGGTTTTCATTTCTTGAAGGTACGAAAATCCGCAGAAAATGTAAATTCTGTAGACCAACGATAATAGGCACCCACCCTGATGAACTGCATGACCACAAAATTCTCTTCAAAGGAACGCGCGTTTTCACTAAAAGCAGCCGACAGGTGAGTGAAAGGGCTTACATGTGCATTTTACACGGAAAGTCGAGCCTCGTGGATGTGTCCCTTCGCCTGTGCAATTCAACCGAAAATAAGATTTTGCTTTGAGTATATTTGCTTAAATTAAACATATAAAAATAACTTAGTAAATAAGAAGTAAAACATTATGTTGGTATGAGTAAATTTCTTTATATTTCATGAAAACAAATGGCTCTAATTTATCTAACGAGGAGGAATATCAAAGTAATTTAAGGCTGCGTCCGAATACCTTGGCCCTTCTCCAATACTCGACTTGGGCTCCGTCTCAGGCTCCGTTCCCAAAACCAATCCCCAATTGTGGGCCTGAAGCGTTTAAATTATTTTGGATTACTGAAATTTTGTCTTTTTTGCATGTTATTTGAAGTTCTGTGGCACCATTAGACTGATTTCTTCGCTTACAGCTTCAAATTCAGCTAGTTGAAAAACAGTTGAAAAAACAATTGCACTGAATTGCGGCCACGTCTGTTGTCGGCATAGGTGCTAGGCCTACACATGTACGTTTCATGCGGATATACCTACAACAATTTTTGGATTCGGCATGAAGAAGAACGCCGAAGTGGAACAATACGAATTTTGACTGGTAGGTTAATCTAAAAAATGCATTGTTTAAAAAGATGGCTTGCACCTTAGTGTAGTGTGGAATGTTAACTCTGAAGAAACTGATTCCTTACCATACTGCGCATGTCTCAAAATACCTCGAACAAAACTATAATCATGGGCATCACCAGGATTTTTTCCCGGGAGGGGGAACCATTTTGACCTGTTTTCAAGATGTATTTTTGACCTGCAAAAAAACCTGGTGACAGATGAGAATTGATGGTTTTTTATAAACCCCTTAAGGGGGGGGTATTTTTAAAGCAATTCCGTGACTTTCATCCCATTTCCTCTCTTATTTCTATTCACTTCGTCTTTTTCCAACCTTTTTTAATGTTCCCCAATTTTTTTTTGGGGGGGGAGGGGGAAGTGCCCCCTCTTGCCCTTTCCCCCGCAAACCCCATGGGTATAATCACGCATAAAGGAAACAGTGCAAGGAAAAGCCCCGATACAAATGGTGTACGTGTGTGGGGGAGGTGCTATGGTTGTTACACAAACGCTCTGCGCGTTGCAGGCAGCAATGGCTTCGTTCCTTTATCAGGCTGGACCAGTATGGTGTCAGTTAGGGGCAAATCCAGGGACGTGGGGGCACACGCCCCCCTTTTTCGCTAAAGAAATTAAGAAAAAGAGGGAGAGGAAAAAAAGAGGGGTCACACTGCCTGAAAATGCACCACAGAGTGGCTAGAAGCCAAATGGCCCCAGACCCCATTCTGTAAAGTCTTTATGCATTTTAGAGGGGGGCACGTGCCACTGGGTACAACCATTTTTCATGAGGGTAGATTTAAAGATTTCTTTTGCGAATGAAAACAGAGAACTATCATCACCCACTTTGTCATCAGCGGCATGTTGGGGGCGGACCTGGGGGCACCCCCCCCACTTGCATTTGGAAAAACGGTTCACATGCATATCCTGATGCGATCACGATCATATACATGTATATGCCCAACATCCAGTCAGTTCCCCCCCCCCACTTTAGCATAAAGCCCCCGCTCGTCCCCCGTGCTCAGAATCCTGGCTAAGACGCAGCACCCCACCCTCCCCCCAAAAAACCCTGGTCATTGCTTATTGTGTTTTAATCATACCCTTTGCTATCTATTTCAACAATCTTGTAACAGTCATTCTGTTGACATGGGTAAACATTTATTCTATTGGTTTGAATTCACACTTCTTTTATTGCAATCACACTTCTAAAATGATAAGGGTCACAGCAATATCATTCACTGTTACCTGGACTTCAGTAAAAGTAATGATTACTTTAACTGTACTTACAGCATGAGGTATATATTTGATCTCTGTTCAAAGTAAGAATCATAATGATCAAGTGCTTCATAACAAGATGAGAATAGAGTCTTACTCCAACACATCATTTCAGGTATCATTTACATTACAGGTGGCAATATTCAAAGAAACAAAAAGGAATAAAAACCCCAAACAAAAACTAAACACTAACAAAAATTACAGTGAAGATCAATCAATCTGTCCTTTTTTCCTAGATAGAAAGTTCGTATATCACACAATAGGCACCCTAAATCAAATCCAAATCCCACTCTTCCACAAATTAAGCCCCCTTGACCACTCCACATAAACTTTGATATTTAGCACAATTCCATTTGGCAAGTCACTTTTCAATGGGTAGCAATGAACCATATTTGGCCACTTTTATTCAGAATCCTGTCTCCAGACTGCTTGCACAAGTACCGACAGGAACGATGGATGGGTGACCTAAGCCTTAACCAAATAAAGTCTTTTTTAAAGTTTAAATCTAAAATAAGATGAAAAATATCATAAAAATCATGTTTATCACAAAATGTCTATATTTAGGGATTTCAGAAGGAATGAAATCATACTATATTGTTCCCATTAAAATCACGTTTTAATGTTCCAACAATTTGCTAAGCTGCTGAACTCTCAGTGAATACTGCGACCCAGGTCATAGGTCAACACTACGCTTTGGGCAATGTTTCATTGACAAGTTCTCCAAGAATGGCGATACTCTCTATCTCCACCAAGGCTCCCTAAAGATGAACAGGGAAAAAATAATCATTAATAATGCAATTAACTTATACATCAATTACTACGTCAATATAAAACACTCGTTACTGGTTCTTGATTCTGAATGGCTCGAACAAGATCCTTTGGAGTATTTCAGGACTCAGCATAACACAAAAAATGGCAGCTTTAATAACATGCATTGCAACTCTCAGACTCCCCCCCCCCATTTGTCCCTTGTGTGACACAAGCAAACCTTTTTTCTCTTGGTCCTGAACTCTGAGAAAATAAGACCCACTTGTGGCCCTCAGTCCACAAAACCACATGTACAGGTTGCCTTGGGGTCAGTACAACTTTTGACATCATGCCTGTCGGACGCTGATTGGGAACAGCAACAGCCACAGCATTCTACAGTGCGACCTTGACACTTTTAAATGTACCAATTTTCTAAACAATGAAATGATCTACAAGATAATATTGCATTAGGATCAGTTCAACTTGTGACATCATGCCTGTCTGACGCTGATTGGGAACAGCCACAAAAACAGCTTTCTTGTATTCCCAGCATTTTACAATGCGACCTTGACACTGAAAACAATGAAATCATCTACCAGTTTAACAGAATACAGCTCAAGGGTGGGATGACCATGGTTCAAAAGGGGAACAAAGTTATAACTTGTTAGGGCCTAAAAACTATGATTATACATGTGATTTGGCTTAATATTGAGATGATGTTGACCAAACATTATCAGTTCTGACTTCCTTTCTTCAGGTACAGTTCATCATACAGGTGCCAGTCACAAGTAATTTCACTAGGCCAGTCACAGTGATCAGTAACATGGGAACATGTGACCTACCTTAGTGGTTGGAGTTTGTACACCTTCCGATCATAGCCTATTGGGTCCAGAGTTCAAATCCTGGCAAGCGGTTACATATTGTGACCTTGGCAAAGTCACTTCCCCCTACATACTTCTCTCCATCCAGGAGTAAATGGGTACCTGTGAGGGCACATATCTTGATTTTGTTTTGCTGTTTGCAACTGATAGGGTAGCAATGGGCCAGCATGCCCCCCAGAAGCTGAGATTCTCAGGAATGTGAATGAAATTCCTTGGAATGACAGACACCGTTAGATACTGTGCACATTCATTATTATTGTTAACTGGGTGAACGATGACAAAGGAATGCATTTGTCGCTTTGATTTGAATAGCTCATGACTGGATGGCCAGTGAAGGACTTGTAATGGACTGACCACAACACAATTGAAAACTTACAGCAGGGAGAGCAGCAGCTTGATATGCAGCTCGCGCAGGATAGTTAGATGTGAAAACTGCCAAAAAAAAGAAGACAAAATGGCATAAACGCTTTTCCTGCATAATATATGTATATTTAGTGAAGTTCAATTTAAAATGACATTTATTTATTAGTCCTAGTCTGTGCTGATGTAGACATGTTTATGAAATTGTGCACTCTGTTCTGCCAACAAGACATGTTATAACAATAATGCTGTTGCACTTTTGCAGAAAAATCTCGCCTAAATGGCTTTGTTCTAGGTTGTGCAATCATGAAATTCTTGCTTGCAAGGAAACGCCAAGGAAAGAAACTTTGAAAAAAAGAACCAGAAATAATTCTGACTTTTAACACTAACCACCAGAGAAAATAAATCCTTAAAAATTAAACACTTACACTTCTCGTATATTTGATTGACCACACCATAGTCAGCAATATCAGCCAGCAAAACTGTCGTCTTCACAACTACCGTACAATATGTATGAAGAAAGGAAAAGGGTAATTCCAGAAATTGGGGGTCCAAAAGTGTGACATTTTTGTGTCCCTGTTACACCTGACCTTTGGTATTTAACATGGAAATATCATCAGAATTGACTTCAAACTGTTACCATTTATTTGGCAGGTAAATTGCATTAATTCATAACTCTTGGAAATTAGAAAATGTGATCTGAACTTACAAAATTATATGTCAGATGTGACAGGGTCACGAAAGAAAAACCCCCTAATTTCCAGTACTCATAAACGAACTTAAAAATGCTGTGCTGTGCACATTTGTGGGTGGATCAGTTTTTAGAGCACCATATTTCCGGACATTGCAGGTAAAATTCTACTCACTAATTGAGGGTCTGAACAAAAGTTGATAATATTTTTAAATCTACAGAAAAACAGTGTTTATCAGAAGTCTTCTTGTTCAACCTCACCTTCAAACAACCTGATCATCAAATAGGCTAGGACAATGAATTTGAAGGTAGAGTTGCATGTAGACCAAAATAAGAATTTGTGATATTGGTTTGAAACAAACAAAAAACTTCTTTTACCATTACTGTAGTCGATGTTCTGTGTTTCCAGTATAGCCCCAATGTTCTTCAGTGTCTGCAAAACAAATTTATCCATTTCTTCTCATTAAATGAGAAAATCAACAAGTTGAGAGCTTCCACAAGGAGTACACTTTCCTATGTTCAGTTTTATGTTATCCAAACTCACACTGGTCTTCAGATAACATGGATGTAAATCTCTTTCCAGAGAAACAGTAGTTGACAGTTTCCCCAGTAAGATAAATCCTTTCGGTGACTAACACTACAATCATTATAATTTACAACTGTAGCACAGGAAAAAATGAGTGAAATATTTTCAAACCTGTGTTGTCTGTGCTTCTATGCCGTTTAGTAACTTGGAAGTGGTTGGGTCAATGCCTATCTGGCCAGACAGGTACAAAGTGTTACCAACAGCAATAGCCTGGCTGTAGTGACAGGAAATAATACGAAATTATTCTCATGCATACAAAATTGTCCAGAGAAGTAGAATTTTATACCTGTTTAAACTGTTAATCAAAGGTCTGAGGTCCTGAAGTTGTTCTACAGTACTCTACTCAGTGAAACTCAAGAGAACAAAAAAGACGGATTCAATCATTGCCATTTTTTTGTGCACACAGCAATTCTATGCAAGTCTAGGTGTACCTAATGTTGCACTACACCAAATACGCGCCCATAGAAAACAGTGCAAAATCAGTCCAAAAATGCACTGCCTGTTGACTCTCAGGAAGAGGTTGGCCTCCTTTTTTTACGGAAAATTCAAGATAATGGCCAGTAGTTCACTTTTCGTTTCAAATTTATCGGAGTTAAGCCACACGATTCTTTTTTAATTTGCCCAAAATAATAGTAAAACTATGTGCTCAGCAAAGAATGCCTCTAAATAGGCCCACAAGTTGGGCTTTTTCATTTTTTGGTGAAATATCCCAAACTGGAAACTACCAGATTTGTGATTTATAGAAATATCTCTATGAATGATCCCTCCTGATTATGGCATGTCTTATTGTAAAAACCCTGGCAGGAGGTCGTGGGT